CTCATTGTTTTGCGTGATGCATCTTGGATGCTCGATCGTCGAGCCCTTCTTCGACATGTCAATATCAATGAGCTGTGTGGTGCGGCTCGTGCTCTCGCATGGGCGACGCCTTTCATAGGGGGACATGTCCACCTCTATGTTGACAATGCGTGTGTGAGGGCGTGGATCGGAAAATTTATGCAAGGTGAAGCCGTTAAGAAGGGCGGTCTGTCAGCTACAATGGTCGGTCGGAGGCTCCAGTCTACATATGACATTGCTGAGACCTACGAAAGCTCCGCTGTTCATCGTGTTGATAGTGCGGCAAATTTAGCTGATCCACTGAGCAGGGTCGATGCTCCATTCGGAGAGCTTCTGACCTACTGTGAGGTGGATGGAGATGAACAGATCCATGTGGAAGCCGAATTGCTCAGCAGCCCCACAGCGACCCACGTAGTGGGATGTGTTTTTTTTCCAATGACATATCATGAGCACGAGCAGTAATCAACAAGAGCAATGGTACAGCTGATGAAAACTGACATCTTCAAGTCATAAGGCCAGACAGTGGACCAAGTATAACATCAGGAGTGGTGAGGCCTTAGCAGTCGAAACCAAATCTTCGAATAATATCATCGAGGGCTTTAGATAATGATGCCAAACTGTTGTCATCCACTTTCCCAGCCATGCCTCGATGAAGCAGCTCAATTGTCTCTACATTAGTGCCACAAGTGACTGCATGACTGGCAGTCAAGTCTTTTCCACATACACAACACTGTATTACTCTTCGACTCCCTTTAACATATTTCATACTTCTCAAAGAGTCACACCTAAGTCGACAGAGCAAAGGTTGATGTTCCCTGCTCAGGCCAGGATATACCGCCAGCCCAGGAGCACATCCACGCACCAAGTACGCAGCCCGCTCCGGTACGATTTGATGGCGATCTTTGAGTACCACCTTAGTAGTGGATATAATATCAGACAGCGGAATCGGTAGGTCATCATTGATGACAAGAGTCCTACCACCTACTTGATCATCCATGGTTACTTGAGTAGCAAGCGCATCCACAGCGTCATTATGAACCAAGCCACAGTGCGAAGGTATCCATTTGGGAAAAAGACCAACACCCAATTGTCCCTTGAGTTCTTCGGCCTCGGCCACAACAGTAGTTACCGTTGGATCCCTGGTATTGAAGCCACCACCCAGAGCATAGGCCACCGACTGATTATCCACGCGAAAACAGATACCATTACTCACCAGTCTACCAGCCATACTCAGTAACCACCGTATAGCATAAAAGACACCAGGCAACTCAGCATAATAGATCGAACCATAGGGACTGAGCGGCACTGCCTTCTCACATAGAACTTCCCCATCAAGCACACATCTATAGCCACATCCCACTCTACCATCAGCCTTCGATCCATCAGAGAAAACTGCAAGGATCCCATCTCCAAGTTCAGAGAGCATATCTTCAGCACATCTCTTGAATTCCTTTTCATTGCCATCTTTCTTCATAACACCTTGACCGATGTCTAACCGAACCGAGCCAAAACAGCGCAGTGTCTATATATGGGGTCTCTATATGGTACTACTCTAGTAGTTGAACATTGAGAGAGCATCTGGTAGTAGACCTGATAGTTCGACATCACATCATCGATCTGTGCAGTGGGGCTCATTTCTTCAGTCTTCGGGAACCCGTCCAATCATCCAAGGTGAACTGCGCTAAATGAGTGAAAGGCAAGGCCTGAGCCCGGAGAGTCCACCCTATAATGGCCAGATCTAGCAGATAGTTGATTGGTTTCAGTCCAGACTCACGCAGAACCAAGTCAGCACTGCTGACTTGGTTGTGCTGACTCAGCAGGAGTTTGTTTCGGCAACCCAGTAATAAGTCTCGCACCAGAAATTTAGCTAGCACTCTCACGCTAGCAGCAACTTGAGTGCATAACGTATATCTCATCCTAGACTCCACTACTGCTTGATACGTAGACCTAATCACAGCTGCCGAGCGACCAAAATTCGCCCCCGCGACCGCACGCACGAGATTCAACCTAGCCTTGAGATTACCCACCGGGGCATAAACGTTTGCCCGACAGCTCAGGCCTGAATCTAGGATTATACCCAGATACCTTAGCGTCGGTTTACATTTCAGCTGCTGACCATACAAAGACAACTTCGGTAAGAACTTGGCATTTCCAAGCGTGAAAGCGATGCACTGGGTCTTAAGAGCGTTAATAGTAAGCTTCAAGCCGTCTGCCCAGCTCCGCAGACGATTGTTCCGAAGACTTTGCAGACGATTCAAAGCTGTCTGCATCAGACTCTCTGGTCCGGTTCTTGATTCAGATTTAACCAACAGCAAGATATCATCCGCAAATTGCAGCACTAGACAGTTTTCACCCAGAATATCTTGGAGCTGAGAGAGTCTCTCAGAGAGACCAATACAGCAAATAACCATGGTAAAACCACACTTCCTTGAGTGTACCACAATTCGGCCGCATAGTCTCGCTCACAGAGTTCCCACAGTGTACACGAAACCTCCTATGTTTCAGAGTCATTCACCATACAAGAGCCTGCCACGTATACCACCCCTCTGAGTATCAGCGTCAATTTCTGGACCCAGGCAGTGTCAAAGACCTTGGACATATCAACTGCTACTCCAACAATCGCTTCACATGCAGAGCCTTGATAACATTCATGAACGAAATGAAGGCCTCTCATGAGTAGATCTTCAGTGTTGTGACAAGGCCTGTATGCCGCTCGACTACCAAGGATAGGAGGGTTCGCGTTTTCTGAACGAAAGGTGAGTCTTGCTTGAACTTCAAGCAAGACTCGTCAAGCGGACTCTTCAAGCCTTGAAGAGTCCGCTCAGCAGCTTTGCAGCACACTGATGTCAAGGATATAGGTCTAAAACCGCCTCATCACAATACCCGCCTTCTTTGGAGTGCCTCTAATTTCAGCTCTTTTCCACTCCTTAGGCAACCTACCCACTATGAAAGAGGTGTTGACAATGTGCCACAGCCAACGTAGTTGAGCTTCTCTCCCTTTTTGCAACCACGACACCCCAATTCCATCTTCACCTGGAGTCTTCCCCTTTTCCAATTCACTAACCGCTTGTTGCCATTCACACCACTCAGTCGGTAAATTACACAATTTCCCTCCCCTCAACCACATCCTTTCACGCCTCAGGCACCGGATAGATTCTTTCCTAACTGCAGCATCACTAGACTCAAACCTTACAGTCGATACTCTCTCATAATGACTGGCTAAAGTGTCAGCTATATCTTTCTCATTCACCACAGTCTTCTCACCACGCAAAAGATATTTCTTCCCGGGCACTTGTAGTCTCTCTTTGCCTGTATACCCTTCAGCGCATGCCACAGTTCAGTGGTAGGGGTAGTTGGGCCAACATCAAGCAGAAACGTCCTCCACTCACATGTCTGAGCCTTGCATGTTAGCCTCTCTGCCCTTTCCCTAGCCTTCTTATCGGCAGCATGATTTTCTACTGTAGGATTTAATCTATAAGCTTCACTGGCGCTCTGTCTCTTAGAGACAGCCTCACGAACTTCAGGGTCCTTATAGGAGGCGGAGTAATTGAAAACCTTGCCACGCGGGATCGCTCTCAATGTCATAGCCCTGCGATACGTAACAAAATCTCTATCAACATTCCCCGTGGGTTTAGAATCCCCAATTTTTGACTCGAACACCTCCGCAAAGAGATCCCAATCGTCCTTATCAACATTCCAACGAGGCTTCGGCTCAGATACAAGCTTATTGAGACCAGATACTGTCAAGAAGCAAGGACGATGATCACTGCCACCCACATCCCAGAAAACCGACCATTCGCAGCATGCGGCTAGCTCTCAGTCTACAATACATAGATCAATGACTCCATGACTGGCACCGAGACGGCGACAGACATATGTCACATCTCCATTATTCACACAAACATGGCACCTATCACTCATCCATTCTTCCAGCTGCAACCCACGACAACTATTCTCATTTCTACCACCACTTCAAGGTAGTGACTTTGCATTAAGATCACCACACCAAATAACACTTTCAGACTCCTGAAGCTCACACTGGACAGTGTCCAATGAGTCTACATTGATGCGAGCTATCGAGGGGGAATGATAGATATTCGCCACAACAAAACTCCTACCCGCCTTCCAAACCATCACCACCAACAGTTCTGTATCTAAACCTTCACCTACACCACTCCCGTCATCCTCATCCAGCAATAGCCTATCATACTTGATCTTGTCTTACACATATGTCAGGAGTCCCCCACCCCGGCTTGCACTACCAGACCTATCGCGCCGTTCATGATCGTAACCTGTTAGCTTGAGATTACCATCAGTTACCCCACCACCAAGCTTTGCTTCTTGAATGCATAGAACATCACAAGTCGACTTCAACATAAGCTGATGAGTCTCCCGTAGCTTTGGTTTGGCACCATCAGCGTTGAAGTGAACCACCTTCAACTCCATCTCCTCAGCAGTACTTTTATAGTACGGCTTTTGGATCACGTAAACGGGGTCCTTCCTAACCGCAGCCGTATAACGGGGCTGCACCCTATCTTGTTCATTCCCATTACAAGCGCTCATGACCTTATGCGGCATAAGTTATGCCTAAGAGGGTGCCATTCTCCGGTAGATGATACCGTCTGGCCAGGAGTCCTGGCCCAGGACAATATCAATTAGCTTCACTGTACACCACTGGCTGGCCATGTGACTGTATACAGCTACTAATCCCAGCCGCCCACTTAGAAGACTTCGGAGATGAACTTGTGGACGGGAGTGGGATGTGCTGGTGCGACTACTAGACTTCTCGGTGACGAGCTTGTCCTCGACCTTGGGGTGGTAGTTGAAGCTCAGCATGACGATGAGGTCTTTTTCAGAGTACGACGTTCACTGAGACACGAACGATCGTTTCCTGAAGTCATTCCAGTTGATCTACAACAAGTCGCCATAAGCTTCGAGATCGACTACATCGCCGTCTTGGTACGGCGATACTATGCTGACTATCAAGGGAAGGAGGTTGTGGTACCCGTCCTACCTGGCTAGTTGATCGCCGAGCTGGTCCATTCAGTGCATGGACCATTATGCCATGCAGGTATAGTTGTGATACTTGTACGCGCAAGACCAAACGTCTGTTGGTAAAGCACGATATTGGTCTCTTATCTCCGGGCTTGCCCGGAAGTGCGACACCTTGGTCGATTGTATGTGCACACGTTGACAACGTGACGTTGTCTACCTACTACCTGGAGTACCTTACTTAACACAGCAGTGCGTTTTATCTAAATTCGCCTGCTTGTGCAGAATCGATGGTGAAGATGTTACTTCTGTCACTAATGCCTTTGAAGAAGTCTGGCGTGCCATCGGTAAACGTCTGCAATCTCTTCTGACGGATAATGGCGTATCATTCTTGAACTGTGATTCACCGGACGTTATCTGACTGTTCACTGCGCCATATGTCCGTCGAATGGCATGATCGAGTCCCTACATCGTACGGTACGGCTGTGGATGCGTTCTTCAATGGCTGATGATCCAAGTCTGTCGCCTGATGATGTTGTTGGCCGAGTGATGAAAGCTTACAACGGTACGGTACACTCTGTCACGCTGCGTGACTCACGCATCGTATCCCAGTTGAGATGTTCAACGTGGATCTCAATGCCCATGCCTCTGATCGTGTGGAATGGGACCGATTAGTGAACACTGTTCACTGAACAGTGCCATTAAGTTAGCTGACGAGAAGTTGCAGTGTTCCACGAAACACGACTTATACCCTGGTGCTATAGTCCATTTACGACGTAAACTTTACGTGATGTTCGTATGGAGACCATACTATGGACTTGCATATTATGCAAGTCCATAGTATGGAAGTATGTATAGTATCCATAGTATGGCTGATCAGCTTTATTAAAGCTGATCAGCCTCCTTATGCTGAGAAAAGTTGGCGTATCATAGGGTTTCTTTCTAAGAAAGGACTTGTAACTAACAAAGATTCTCCTGATTATGGCCTTTTCCGGAAAGCAAAAATTCTGTGGGAGAAAGAGGTGAAAGTTGTTCATGTCTCACGGCTTGTCCGTTGCTTCCCGGCTAGAGTTGATGTTGAAGATCTATGAAGGTCCAACGAATGCATTGTGATTTACTGTTAGATGGGAACGAGCTCAGAGACTTCCTCGTGGTGTTCCTGGAAACTCAACTATAATGCTCATTGTTGAGGCTAACGTCTAAGCATTCGACTGTTTCTTCCCTTTCTGTTTCCTTGTACATTCTGTTATTGTTGCTTTGTCGGATTGCTTCTCGTTTTGTTACGTCTGTATATCCTTGTTAGTCAGTCCAGATGAATGGTTCCGATTATGCTATTGGTCGGACATATATATGTATGTTGAGATATGCACTTGTGTATGTTCTTTTCACTGTTTATTTGGATTTGTCTTGTGTTGTACCACACGACGACTAACCAACCACTACCACAACAGTTGTGATAGTGGTTGGTTAGTCACCTGTTTAGTGTACTAATCAATGGATGTGTCCCCGTGTTGGGGGAGTTGTTGGACGAGTATGTGGTCGATAGTTGTCGGAATCCATGTATTGTTGGATGTTTTATCCGACGGATAATGGGTAAAGGTTGATTGGTACCTTTTGGTTGATTAAAGGTAAATTTGTTGTGTGTTGGATTCAGGGTACCATTTTCAAGTCGGTCGATTCGGGTAGTGCGAAGCTAGATTTGTGCAAATTACTAGCTTCGCGTACTAAGTAGTCGCGATGATTTTCTAATCACATACATGTTTATCATGATTGTCATAATTCTTTTCGCACTACTGTTCATTTATTTTGTTTGATTGACGTTCATGGCGTTTCGTGTTCCAGCTGCCTTTGAGTGGCGTTGTGCTTGAATTGCCCTGGTATTTTGTTTATCTCTTTCATTTAGTTTCTTTTCTCGATACTCTGTCTTGAAATATGGACGCACCGTTGTTGGCGTCGACATTTTCAACTGCTCCAGATCTGCCTGACTCAGACGAGTTAATGACAGTCATTAACTCAGGTCATTAACTAAATTATTTAGTTATTAACTCAGTCATTAAATGACTCAACTATGGTCTCAGAGACCATAGTTGAGTCATCAACTCAACCACCCTTTTCGGCCGACTCTTGGAGAACGTTGAAGGCAGCGTTTGATGATGCCGAATTGTTGGGGGAAATGGTAGATGCTTGTGCTGTCGCTATGGGTGCCGTATTGGACAATGATGCTGAACCGCCTCGGGCTGATGTTATCGCTGTGAGACTGAGAAGAGCAAGACTCAGTGCTGCATTGATTGCTTCTGCTTCTCAAAAAGAGGATATGGTGAAGGCGAAGTTTTTCGTGGGTACGATACTCGCGTCAGCGGCACAGTTTTTTTGTTGTTTACCTCATAATGAACTGGTTCCTATTCCGCTTGTTGCGGTGGTCTTGTCTCGAGAAAGATATGCATTTATTGAATTTGAAGCTAATCCTGAGATCACCGCGTCGGCCTGCAAGTCTGTTATACAGTTTACTCCAGATGGTCAAGCCGTAGACTCTACGGCGTAGAGACTGTGAAACTTCCTACGGGGAAACTTCCTAATACTTTGAGCAATGGCTTCTATTGATGTTGCGGTGGGCCTTCACTATATATGTCTTTGAGGGTAAGGGGCTTTGATGCATGTCTGTGAGTATGCTGCGGGGATTGCCTCAATATCAAATAAACACGGTTTTGGTAAAGCACAGTTGTTTGATCGACGTTATCGTCAGCGAATGCTGTTATGCATGAGACTGTTACAATCTTCTCCTACTCATGATGAGGTCAAGATGGAAGATCATCAGGCATTCTCTACCTTTCTGGCTAAGAATCTAGAGGCAGAGCTTCTTGCAGAGGTGTGTGCGAATGCTTCCCCAATGTTGCCAACATTATGTTGGGGAAACCGAATGCACCTGGAGCGAGAAATATGTCAAAAGTGGTGTGGGAAGGTACATGCAGGTTTACTAAAGAAGACTCAGTCTTCTTTAGGCAATCTTCAAGACTGCCCATATGAAGACTGAAAGTTTGCTGAGCACTCACCGCCTACTACTCAGCTAGGGAATGCTGTTATGGGTAAAAGAGATATTGATAATCAGGGGCAGGGGCCGAGAGATAATAAGGCAGCTAAACGATAGCCGGCCCGATACTCAATACTGGTATCTCATGTGAGGTTGGAAGTTTGTTTCTGTGAGTGTTCTTTTAACTAGGATATAATCCGATATTGGCAGTTTGATACTCGGTGTGTGTCGCATGGAAAACGGATTTCACCTCATCAGTAGTTTGTTGTGTTGAATAAGTGTCGAAGTACTTTGGGTCAAAGTAGATGGTCTCCAAGTCTGCTGAGTGGGCTTCTCATCAAGCTAGGGCTAAAACGGAAGAGGGATAAAGAATCTCCTTGATTTCCTAGAGCATACTACATCAGTAGAAACAAAGGAAGGTTATGAATCTGCGTATAAATATTATAAGTCCATGAGAATGGAATTTCCACTGTCTGGTTTGAAGTTATGTTTGTGAGGGGTTTAGTGGAATCAACAAATTTGCAGTACACAACGATATCGAAATACACATCGGGATTGAAGACACTCAACCAATTACATGGTTTTGGTGATATTTCGACATCGGATGAAAAGCTGGTAGCTCGGACGTTGCAATCGCCGCGTAAGATGAAACCTCAGATGAAAAAGAGGCGAACGAAAAGCTCCGTCGATACCGGAAAAGTAGCGAAAAGTTTGTTCAAATTACCGGTTGGTGTTTTAAGAGCGGAACTTGAGCAAACCAAGGATGCTATTTTAATGGGCATTTCATCAGCTCTAAGACTTGAGAATAGAGCTCTACGACTCTCGGCTCAACTGTGCTGTTGTGTTAAGCACAGTTTTACGGGCATCTGCAACAGTCGAACCCTCGGTTCCCCCAGAAGCTCGGCCAGGCACTGCGAGTACAGTGCGAGCCAATTCAACTAATGAGCCGTGATTTATGAGTGTAAGGATTCCGGTAGCTCCGGCTGTGACCCTTGTGACCCCTGACTGTGAAACACTATACTCTCTTGTGGACTAAGTACGGGCTTATTAAGTAATAAGGATTAAAAAATGATACAGTATGACGCCTCATAGATCCTACGGGCACTTCCCCTGCTTGAAATCGGTGAGAGCTGTGACACCGCCAACCGTAGTTACTAGAACATTCTGGGATCCGATGTAAGCGTATCTCGCCAAGTCGTACTCGGTGTCAAATTTTATCATACCGGGGCATTTCGAGGCAACGTCTTTGACGAATCGCTCGAGCTCGGCCATGGTGGCTCGCGTGACCTTGAAGAATCCAGCGCCAGCTGTATATAATAGCACGGTTAGCGATCTAACTTCTACTTCGCACCTTAAACGAAAGTTCACCGAATATAACCCTTGTGTAATCATCGACCGCCAGGTTAACTGGGCACAGGTTTCTGGAGTGACCATTGCGTAGTAGTCTCCTTCGGGTATTTTAGGTTGGCAGCTTCCTCCGGGTGTTTTAGGTCCGCATAGCACCAAGAAAGAAGTAGCTATGAAGGAGTGAATGAAGTAGGTGTTCATAGTATCACTCAAAAGTGGATATAACTGACATGAAAGTATAAGAACCATGTCGTCGGCATCATCGACAGCTCAATTTTCCCCGATTGTTGAACCAAGAGACGAAGAATTGGAAGAGCTGAGCGTGCGCCGCGCTGCGCCGCTACATCGCGCCCCCGGGAAGCGAGAACGACAAAGCAAGAACCACTTCATGAGGGGCCTCTTCCAAGATCACCGTGCTCTGAGCACGGGAGGGAAGGACTATACACCCGGACAGCAGCTCTCGAGAGTTCTACCGGTTCTGAAGTCGATGAGGCTCGGCGAAGCCAATCGACAGCCAAAAACGACAGGCCCTGCAGAGACTTCGTGAAATGCGTGGCGAGTCGCCGCTGGCGACGGAGCGTGGAGCTGCGCAACCTTCCTGCTTCCCCGTTCAAGGGAGTTTGGGAGGGCCCAGAAAAGGTGGCCAGAGTCAGCCCCGGCCGTCCCTTCCGAGCCCCGAGTCGGGGCCCCCGACTTCAAAGGCTCTTCCTGCAACGAACGACTCGTCATGCATGCGTGCACGTCTTGCTTCCCAGGCATGACGTGACGCCACGTGACGTGCCACGTGACGCGCCCCCATAACAGATACCAAGGGAATTTTACGTCTCCCGATGGGCTGAGAAAGCTCGTTGTCGAGTGTTACTAGCTCAGACCATGAAAATACGCGGATACTGCCTCCCGCCCTGCTCTTCCTGGAAATGAATCTAACGCTTTCACGGAGCGTCCGGCGATTCGGGATTCAGTGTTGCGACGAAATATAACTTGGGAACAGTTCCTTCTCAGCAGTCCATTGCCACCGTAAGGAGGAGTCATCTGGCAAATTTTCTCAATGGTGCATCGTTTACTCCTCGCCTATGTCGCTCTTAATCTACTGGATGCGGATCAACCAACCTATTCTGCTTGGGATCAGGCTTGCAGAGATGCTCTGCAACGGGAGTCCTATTGTATGCACTACAATCTTGGTGGAGGCCGAGGGCGTCATGGGAGTGAGCCTTCTCTCGCCTGTGGTCTATCGCTGCCTGATTACGATGAGTGGGCTGCTCTACACCTGAGTGCAGGGCGAACTGTTCTTCAGGTTCTTTCGGGTGATCCACAGGCTAACTATGTGTGGGGAAGAGTGAAAGATGTGAACAAGTGCCTCGAGAACCTGACCATCACCAACTTCGCTGCCTTATTCACTCTTCACAATCTGAAGCACGGCTTGTCAGAGACATACGGCTTCACGGACATTGCCAACGGTCTGAACAACTCCATCCAAAGCAACATCTGCGGGTTCCGTCTCCATGATCTCGACGTCAACATCAAATCTTTTATTGATAAGATTATTGAGAAGTATTCTCGTATCTTAAAACCACTAAACAATTCAGACTTCACCGACTTCTACTATGTGCTGCCTATACGCTTCGATTCGCGAATGCAGGACGGGGTGCAGGTCGTTACCCTCGGCTTTCCCGACCTTCCCGACTACGTACTGTCCACAACTCTACGGCGGGCCGGCGACTTCACACAATGAGGGCGATATAATAACACAGGTCGACGGTACGCTCGTTCTACAGTGGATGCAAAGTATGGTGACTGATGATGGTCCGTATGTTGGAATTTATCAGGTTCCTCTGCAGAGGGTCAACAACCGCTTCTTTGTGCGGCCCCACGTCGACCGGAACGGTCGTAGGGAACCGACGCACACGGGGCCGTTGAACGTGACCTTTTCTGGCGGTTCCGTTGAGACGATCCATTGGTTGGGTAGACTCACCGACTTTATTAAAGCCATCGGACAGGACGCCGTCACTCTGTGCTCCTTCAACGTCCGGGCTAACATGAATCCGGTCATCGAGGAAACAGTTAAGCTCGAGACAGAGCTCTATTCGAAATGTGATTCATTGTGGCACCTTATGCCCGAGAATTCACGAGACGCCAGTCACACCGCAGGACTCGACAGCACCTTCGCCTCCTGATCTCTTCCGTGCGGACAGACGTCAGGGTACCAGGGAGGATACCTTCGTGCAAGGTACAGGTTATGAGTATGGCCTTGTAGATGACGCAGAGTTGTATGTACCGAATTTCGAGCCTGACGATAGTTCGCGCTTTCTGTCAGCTCTGCTCTATGGGAAATTTCCGGAGGTGCAGGACTCCGCGAAGCAGCACCATGACCACTATATTCGACGTCTCCTCGAATGGGGTGGGACCCACCCCATTCGATGTACCCGGTACATTCTCTCTGCTTTCGCACTTCAATAGTACTTGGCGGAAGCCAAGGATATCTTCTTCCCCATAGTGCGCCATATGACGGACAACTGGCAACTCTGGGTATCTTCCTTTGGTGTTAACTATGATGAGGCCATCGACAGTTTCTTCAGCTCCAAGGCCGAACTAGTGGGATACCCGGTTTTCATACATGGACGTTTCGAACAGCTCGCATACAGAACGCATGCGACTTGCGTCATGCGAGTTTGAGAGTTCCGGGTTGAAGCCTCGTCGAGCGTGTCTCGCTTTCACGGGTCAGTCCGCTAAAAGTTTGCGGGATACAGCGCTTTCATTCGTGTTTTCTTTCGAGAAAATCCGATGAAGAATATTCACGACATAAGGAAATCGTCTTGTCTCCGTTGTTCGTTCACATAATGAAGGAATACATCTGCGAACTGCGATCCGAGATCAGTGCGATCCGATGCGACCCTAATTGGAGTCATACTTTGCATGCATCACTGCCAGTTTGAATGGGTCAAAAAAGTCCCGGATACGGGTTCACTCATCCTTCACTATTTCCAGAATTCACTGTTTTCAGGCGGGAGCCTCGCCGGCGGCGAGTCGCCGCTGGACAGTTCGAATCATGTTCATGGCTATCAAATCGATATCGATTTGGACCGTTTTTGGATTACCGTTGCGCCTGAAAGCTTCGTGACATCTTTCAAGACGGTGGAACATATGAATGATGTATTCTAGTAGACCAATGAGGTTCGAAAGATGGCTCGCCTTATTTGGAATCGTGAAGCACTCCACCACACTAGTGACGTATGTGGTGAAACCGAATCGGCAGATTTCGGGCCGCATTTCGCATTCATGTCAACCACAACATCAGAAATATCCGGCAAGCTGGTTGGACCAGATCCCCGTATTGAGAAAATTGCGCCCGAATGCTTCATACGCTCAACAGTACCATGATCCCATTCGCATTCTGAATACTCGATCTTCGACGGAGGCGGCTGACCGAAGTTGTTAATGTGATTAGTCCAAGACGCGGAGCTTGTGGTTGTACCTAGTGTGTGATACGTTCCTATGATAGAACTCTAATACCCGATTCCGATGTAAGCCATGTACACGTTACCTGCCATAAACACTAGAAGGAGCTGATCTCTAACAAGCGTTCACAATGTGAACTTCACATAGCATGTCACACACATTCACGTGACACGTGGGGTCCCTGTAGGCGATGTTGCCTCTAACACGCCGCTGGTAATCAGCGGGAAATTTTCAAAAAGTTCAACCAGCGGCTGGTTGAACTTTTTGAAAATTTCCTGAAACAACTGAACGAACAAGATCAAGGGCCGCCTCTTTTCGGAGTGTAAGAGCCTCTGAATAACACATGGAGAACAGTCCGCTTCCATACTAAACACCATATGGGGTATCGATGTATAGCTCGAATATACAACCCGCAATTCAACCTTGTTCTTTTTTCCCACCATGCATACGTATAAGTGGAGAAATCACGCGAAAGTTGCAGACCAGTAATTGTCTTTACGAGATTGTTATTTCGGATTCCCAGTGAAGTGACGAATACGAGGACATTGCGCTCTCCCAGCTGGCCTATGTTGCAGTATCTTCACATAACCTATTTACGAGTATCTGGAATTTTAACAAGGAATGTACTAGTCTGCTCAATGAAGCGAGCGCTCCGCCTTACTGACCAAGAATTCAGTCGGCCTGAGGGAGTGCTGAGAACCGCGTAGTAGAATGATTTGCGTGCAAAGATGTGCGTTGTAGCGGAGCGAAGCGATTTGTATTGTCGCACTTGGGTTCTGCTGCGCGGCTCTGCGTGCCACGACCGCCCAGAATAGGCGGGCGAAACTGCCAGCCGTTTCATGTGGACTACAACGATTGGACTGTGATTGTCCCTTGGAATTACTAGCTCTTGATTCTTGATCCTAGAACTACTAGTTCTTGAGTCTCGACTCTAGTTTTCCAATGTCTGCCACAGACTCTCACAGAGTCTCTGTGATCGTGACTAGTTGGGCTACTACTAGTTCTTGAACCACTACTATCAGGACCAGTGATTACTATTGCTCAAGCTATTGGAGTGTGCCTTTGAGTTCGACTAGTGGTTTTGGTCTACTCGGATTCAGTTCTCTCGCGGCCCACCTGCTGCTTATACTGCTCTCTGCGCTCCCTCGCCCGCCGGGCCGCGCACTGCATCGAATTTTTCTACTCAATACGGCGTACGATGGAAGCCAAGGCAGAGCTCCAACCGTATTCGAAAATCATGATCGTATTTGAGAGAAGGCTTATTTGTTAGAAGTTGAGTCATCATTGACGTGGTATTGAGACCCTACTTATATAGAATGTTCATGTCAATTCGGTGGTCTCGGTATCAGAAGTACAAAAAACGGCGAGACACCCGTTAATCTGTAATAGAATGTCGTTGCCTCATTTGGAGGTTGACAGAGTGAGAAATATGGCGCAATGCGCCATTGGCGCATTGGACGTAGCTTATCGTTGGTTCTGTCGAAAGCGGCGCTTTCAAAGCGCCTGTATTCGAGAAAATACGTTATAGTCTAACTTGGGATTCCTACTACCTAACAATACCGGTGTTCTCCAAGAGAGGAACTATGTTGTTCAACAATGACTGACTCCGTCAGTGCGGTTATTTCCTTTGATTCACAAACGCTGACTTGTCCTAACGTTGATCGCAATAAAAGGCTCATAAGATCATCTGGAAGCATGAAAGCTACTAGCGATGACTGAGTACTGCCCACATGGCACAGGCGGCGTCCTAGGAAGAAAACTATGGTGCGGAAAGTCCACAAATCACAAGTGAATTACACTGCCAGATAATCTCGTCTGTAGACCTAGAACGGCAAACTTCCGAGGAGTCCTCGGCGAGGACCGTCTCGATTGATGACAATAACGGCATTGCCGTTACGGCAAGAGGAGATGTGGGACGATCGAATAGCGGCTTTGCTATTCACCGGGTGAGAAAACAGACGGTCTGCTGCTGAGTGACCTGGTCACTGTGACCATACAACTCATTAAAGTTTCAATGAAGGTCAATTTATTGGGCTAGGTCGACAAACGAGCGAATGGTTTGTGTTGTGGTTGGGGGGTGTTGGATCGATTAATATCCAGTTACCGGAAGCATTGACTTTCCGGTTGAAACGATCCTAGAAGTTCTCAGTTTGTAGAGACCAGAGTGTGCTTTCAGGACCGTGGAGTAGCTCTCAACCGGACTGAACTAACATGTGAAATAGCATTGGATAAAGTCAGAGCGGAAAAGGGCTATGGTCTCGATGGCAGTTCAATGAAGGAGCATAAAAATATATGGCTAAGACGGAAAGCGGGTGAAAATTCGAACCGCCGAATTACTATAAACAATTAATTACGCGCTCGGAAATCACACAAATATCGGATGCCTCGCATTGAGGCAAGCGACCCGGGCCTTCCCTCGTGAGAACAAGAGATATGGGGTTGATATAACCGATGGTCGTATCGCTCAGATCGGAAGCGACAGTTCATGCTTCCAGGAAGCTCCTCCAACCAGTGGTGGTGATGATATTCTAGCTCTCTCTCACAAGCCTCTGTGCTGAGCTCTGCATTACGGGATCAGCAGCTTCCCTATTCCGGCAAAGGGCAAGCTCACAAGTTGTGAGTCACAACTCCTAGCAAAAGCATCTGAGCACCCTCGGATTTATCATGGAGTGAAAATGAGGCAACAGTATTGTGAAAATGAAGATACCCCCATTCAGGGATCAGCACTGAAGTCGGGCCGGGCTCGGCCCAAGACGGGTCATGCTCCTGCCGGTGGGTTGTTTGCACTCATTTTGTTTATTCCAATGCTAAGGGGTTTTCTCTCTGTGTGCTTTGATGTTTAATAAACTCTCTTTATGCTTGGTTTACTCTGGCTTTGCAGGTAACACCAACAAAGAACTCAGCGAGATCTCCCCGGAATCCTTTCTTATGGGCAGCAGCCTTTCAGACTGAAAGTTTCAGTGAAGAGCTTAGCGAAGAACCAACTCCACTGGAGTTACTCCAGCGGTTCTTTTCAACTGTATCAATTCGACGTGGGTGGGCAGCCTCTCGCATCCAATGCTGTACCGAATTATCACAGTCAGCGGTATGCTAAACTACGCTATATTCAATATAGCATTCACCTCAAATTCACCCAATATACATAGATATTCGCCGAAAACAGAGAGCTAATCATTTTTTCGCTTCCAATGGTAACGACTATTATAGGGAGTACAAAACAGTGTTACACAGTTTGCAGGATTAGGACCGGGCTCTCGGCCAGGAAGTTCTGTCGGAAGATGGAGTCGCACCCGCCGCCCTCCGAGCAGTGGGCATATGAAAGCCGCAAGATGACGAATACTGAGGCTGATCTCAACTGTGTTCCTCTTCAACGCATGAAAATGTGACGGTTTAGAGATCCTGTCAGTGTGATATGTAGCGAGTCTCAGTGGTCACTGCGTGAACATGAGGACTGTCGAACCCTCGGTTCCCCCAGAAGCTGGGCCAGGCACTGCGGGTACAGTGGAGCCAATTCAACTGGTGAGCCTAACAACAACATTACTGTTATTTCTCATCGCTCTCGGTCGACCGTGTTGTCTGGATCTGCGAAGAGACAGCTCGTATCACAGCTTCATGACAGGCCATGTCGACCGGATGCGATCTCAATCAGTTTGCGCTGCAAACTTTGCAGACTAGAACGGTGGGAGGCCATAATCAGTAAAGTCGGACTTTCTCCCGAGGTATTCGGTTATTACCACTGATTTACGGAAGGGTCGTCGGCAGGGAACGGGGGAAGCTCCTCAAGGGGGTACAGGATATACGATTGTCTCGGACCGAGTCGCGGAAGATATGGATCTCTCAGAACTTGACCGCTATTCGGGTGACCGTTTCACCTATTTGCGTATTCTCATATTTCCTGGCGCTCCAGGCATAATAACAGGTGATGGCGGAGATAAACTTCATGCTCCCGACTGATGCCAGCATGTGTACTGAGCTCATAAATTGCCGTTTTCTTCCCTCTCGAGACGATGTTCGGGTTGTCAGTTTGCGCTCGTGAGGGCAGTAGAGGATTGTGTTGCAGCGATGAGAACTGTGGTGTGCGGCATTTCACTCATGTCTTGATTTGGGTCATGCGTCAACTGATCGCTTCGCTCAACAAGCCTTGAGTTAGTCAAGAGCGTCGATGCTTTTTGAATGAAAGTTTTGGTGAGGATCTGGAGCAGTGTTTACAGCTAGGCTTCCTATATCAATCGTTTTGGTTGAAGTCTCTAGTGTTGCTCTTACCTAGGAAAATGGTCGTCATTAGTCAACCGGGTTGGGGGGGGCAGAGTGATTATGGATGTGGTTCTAGCAACGCATGGATCATCACCTTGCGTCTGGAGCAAGCTGACTCGCAGCCAGCTCAGACTGTCACCATACAGTAGTCAGTGACTGTTGCATGGTGCAATGGTCTATGAAAAAGGTACCCACTCCAGCTCTGACTGTACCTCTAGAAGCATGTGTCATCAGAGATAAACAATCTATATAGTTGTCTCTCAATGACTTTGCTTGAACCACATGACGTCAGCTTTCGTTGTTGTTGCTAGCCTTTCTTTCTTGTTCATACTATCACTAAACACAAAACCGCCACTTGTGTGTTGGTAGAAGATTCAAAATTATCAGCAATAATTTTACGTATGATTTACCACTCCTCCAGATATTCTACTGATACTAACTAAGCCGTTCATCAACCACTGCAGTCGAGCGTAAATAAATGATTGAAATTTCGGATTTGCGATACTAGACGAGGGCCAGCGTAGGGCATCTCCTGCCACCAGAGCCGCGCTCTCGACGAGCTCACCAAGGCCATTTTCTTCAAGCGAATAGAGCAACTTCAAGTCATCAGCTTCCGACCAAGCCCATGTGGGATCCTCCTTCCACATAGGCGGAGGACGACGAGTTTGAGCTACTATTCTTTGAGATACTCCTGCTAAATATACCGGATCACTTGTACTGAAAACAACAAGTAAATCCATGACATGCATCCGCCAAGACGGTACCTTAGCCTTTCGATAGTGAGTCTTATTAGATACAGTTGACCATATCGGCGCATGAAGTTCATGCCTTCACCCACCAGATAATCGTCAATAGCGGCACCATCAGGAAAATGTGAAGGGAATCTCCCATGGTTGCCCTCACTTCTAGCGATACTTGTTTCAATGTCATTGATAGTCTAAAAAAGAATCGTTTCGCTCCCAACTTTTCATATACGCTGAAGAGCTCACCTTGAGATAACGGAAGAACATAACTACGTAAGCGTCAAAGACGTGATGGGACAATCCTCGGAATTCAGGAGGAGAGCGTAACTGTGCTGCATGTGGTTGCTCTCTAGGGATGTAGAACCTCATAGCAAAATTGAAGAATTTCCGTCGAGCTTCCAGCGGGAAGAATTCCCATACCTCCCTGAAGAACAGTTTCCCACACGACATCAAGGCAATGTTCTCACTTCCCATGAATTTCGATGAGCTCCTTCACGCTTAATGACTCCCATGATGCAGGTACTCTTGCAATTGATACGGAATCACCATTAACACCGTATGGTGATGATGATGACGACGAGACACCAGTGTTGCTCGCCATTCGCTGTCCATAAGCCATATTGTGAGTAATACTCATCTGACAAAGGAGGATAACGACAAGTGCATTGATGCAGAAGTCCTACGTACCCCTCCTGGAGATGGATACACCATAGGTCGACCAGCATTCATCGCAGCCTGATTCCATGCTTCCCGGTTCGGCTCCGATGTGGCTACGTTCAAAGGAGACTCTCTTTGAGGAATGCCATTCTGAAGGTGCCTGGACAACGCTTCGCCTTCTCGGAAATTACTGGGCATGACCCGGCCCAACGGAAGCATCGAGGGAGAACCTTGAGTTTGGACACTCCATGGTTGTCGGGCCTCTTCCAAGAGAGCAGCGAGCACCTCGTAGATCTTATGGCTCTCCATACCTTTAACAAGCCTTGCACCATCATTCACAGCCAACAACAGGGTAGGGCGATCAGGACCTCGTACGAATTGACCAGGCCCCAGATATACATAAACATAGAACCCGGTAGTAGACAATGTGACACCCAGCAGGAGCTCTCCTTGAATAGGCTTATGAGGTGCTTGGTTTGAAGCAGCTTGTTGCGTCCCTAACGGGTATTGCGGCAATAAGTTAAATGATGAGCTTCCGGGAGAAGGTCGAGCTCGAGCATACGGATGGGCATAAGATCCTCGCATGGAGTTAGAAGGACGAGAATCCACTTCCAGGTTGCCAGGTAGTGACTCCCCAGTAGGCGGGTCGGAGTTCTTGCTGAGATTGGGAAATAAATTGAGTGCGTCAGCATAGAGTTGAAGCGTATCCGCTCTTCTGTTAACAGCACGACCTTGTCGCAGTCGCTCTACAGCCACAAGAGCGGCGCTCGAACCGAAGCGCATGTTTTCGAGATAGCAGGAGTGTAGAGCAGGATCGGACAGGATGTCGTAGGCGTTTTTGATAGTCTTGAAGAATTCTCCACAAGCTTGACCAGCTTTGGGAGACGCAGCTCCAGTAGTAGAGTTAGGATGAAACCTCAGGGACAGGTCGAGATACGCCCTCCTTATACGCGCATCATTAGCCGAAGGCGGGACGCCTAGGACTTCGAATAAGGTAGGCGGCTGCTGCAGTTTAGCATCCATGAGCGGGTCAGGAAGTGAACTACGGGAAAAGTAATTGGGGATGAGATCAATCAACACAATGCGGAGGTGAGGTGAAGACTAACGACGTCAATAACGTGTTCTTCTCTCCAGGTGATAAAACAACATCCGAGCGAGGTCCTTGGAACTTCTTCAACACCGAGTCTTTAGTCTCATAAAACCCGGAAAGGAAAAGCACAAATTCGCATGCAACACACACTGCACATTTGCGGGAGGCCCAATCGCATCAAAGGTCTTGGTGGTACCCCGCAGCCAGAAGATGCAAACGTCCTCTTAGTGAGCAGGACTCTCCTCATGATCAACAAGGAGCCGTCTCGGCCAAAGACAGTGCTGACCCTTTCCAAGAGGCGCACAATGCCCTCAGAGAGGTTCGCATACTAAAGCCTGCTCACAAAGCCCTCGCTTCCCGGGATTGTGCGGGAGTAGAACTCCCGCTAGGGATGATCAGACTTGAGACGCGGCTGATAGACTTCTGGGCCGCGTCGCGATTTTCCACAAGTAGAAGCGTGAGTAGCCACACCAAGTGTGGCGGAAACTCCACGACCATTTTCCAAGCTCAAACCTCCTCGTTTGACCAATCCCACAATCCGGAACTGATACTGCTAAAAAAAGTTTCACGCGACATGGTCACGTGAAAAGCAAGTGTCCGCACAATGTGACACCAACTAGCAAACTGCTTTGAGTGCGTTCACGCGTACCCACACGCTTTCAAAAATGCACACTGCTTGTCGGGATAGCTACTGAAGCCTCCTTCCCGTTGTTCATACGGTTCTCTGGTCCTTTTGATCACTTCGGCCGAGCTGCCAACACGATGTATAACCTGACAAACAATCAGTTCGGAGTGGGAGACGAAATAATGCACAAGGGAAACACAGATTTTGCGCGGGGGTTCTTGGCACAAAGAAATATGAAGGGGCTCACCATGGTTAGCGAGCACTGTATCTCCTCAGATCTCGACCGCCGACCATACCTGAGTAGAAACGACCTTATCCACGCGGCCTCGTCTGACCAGCTCAATCCATTTTCGTAAGGCACCAAGTTGGATTAGCCCTATGATATCTTCAACGTTGTAGCTCGGTGATGTCAAGGTAGATGAGAAGAGGTCCTTCTGACCATCATAGCAGCTGTAGCCTCCTCCGAACCAATAGAGTCGATGCTCGCTACTGAGACGTCTTATCCATCCCGCCTCGTGCGCTCCGGACGAGTCATCAATAGCGCCTTCAGCGCTATAACAGGAGCCCGAGGGGTCAATGAAGCACCAGTCGCTTGCACCGTGATAGGGCCATCGGTCAGTGCTACACACAAGGCCGTCAGACGACCGGGACGGGGCTTCTCGGAAGATAGGAATGTAAGAAGAGGATCCCAACTGCTCATTTGTGGTAGCTGCTGATGGAAAACCATCCTCGAGCGGTTGTTCACCTGAGCGTCACGGGATAGTCGAGCTACAACGGCAATCTGCGCACAAGAGCAATACGCCACACAATCGGACAACACAACGGAGTGAGAGGACAGGAAGAAGCATGTCACGACCACTTGTAGAAATTATGAACCAAAAAAGGACCAACCACTAGGACAGCAGGAACGAGTGGCCGCCAGTAGAATAGAGAGAAAGCTCTGAGCCTTCTCCCCTCACATGTGCCTTGCCGAACTCTGTGGCACACGGCAGCGCACAACTACACGTACCTCCTCAACACCAGCCTATTCCTCGTTGTCTCATCAGGCGCTACTGAAGCTTTCCTTACAGTCTTCGGCAGAGGGCGCAGGGGAAGAGGATGGACGAATCCTATATAAGCTGTGGAAACTGACAGGAGTTTTGTCACAGGACCTTGCAAATGCTCCAAGAACGACCGTCAGACCGCTGTCTCTCAACTCGGTCGTCGACGGAGCTGAGAGACAGCCACCGTTAGGAACCGTCGAACAGTATGGAGCTGCTTCCTAGTGCTCACCTACCTCGAGGAGAAACACCGCCCTTCACTGATGCCCTAGAGGCCGTAAAGGCGTAGATAAACGATTGGGGACAGTCTGACGAATTCACACAGTGAGGGATGAAATGGTGAGTGAATCAAACGCATCCGCGAGAGCTCACCCAGCCCTGCATGCTGAGCGATCGTCATAGACGTCATAGGGTAGACGACAAGCTCAACAAAAACAACAACAAGGGTAAGTCCACCTCGTCCTGAGTAACCAGAATTTCAAAGCCATGAGTTACCTCCTAAACTCGTACAAGTCGAGCCTTCTAGCCGTGGAGTCCGATGTACCATCGTTCATTAGGGAAAAGCAGAACAGTTGTAGGAAATAGAGCAATGCAACAAGTAGCACACACGCCCACAAAGCTACTCCAAGTGCGTGCACGTGCAAACATTTAGGAAGACAGATGAACCCAGCATGAATGACGACGCGAAGGAGAAGTGACGCCAGGGACGCTACTGCTGGTCCACAAATCTCATGATCAACTCGTTGGTAGGTAGCATTGCGACTCCAATGAGCATTCCGCGTGTGACCAGCACCAATACGACCAACCAGAAATGTGCACCTTGAGAGTGTAGCTGTTCCGAAACACATAGATTCCTACAAGAGGGGAATTGCGAGGGGCGGTCCATGGCGCACAAACGGTTGAGCAAAATTTACATGGTGCCCCCTCCGACAAGCAGACAACACACTGTATGCCAATACTATAGGTGTCCCCAGTGATAAAAGCACCGTGTTGAGCTTCGTGGACAAATCACGGTTACAGGAAACGAACGGGAGCGTGAACCGGTGGGAGACAGCCTGTCTCAGACAGGGCGTTTCACGAACGCACGTATAGCTTATAGGACTTTTGAACGCATGCACACCATCATACGAGGACAACCATAAGTTCGAGGTGGAGCGGTAGCAAGCCAAACCTTGGAGAAAATACTAACAGCATTATCCCTTACGGCCACCAACCTGTGTACCAGTAATGCACATTATAGTCAAGGTATGAAGACTCATGCTATCAAAGATACTCAGAGGTAGCGGGACGAGTAGCCACAGCACGACTTACCAAACTCCACCGTCAGCGTGTGCTTCGCCATTCATCGTGCTATCCGTGACCGACGAGCTGGCCGTCGTCTACTCGATGTGTGGAGAGATTTGCTCCCAACCTGATCAGAGAGGGCGGACGACAGTTCAGTGAGGCAATGGCTCTCGCCGAGGCTCTGCCTCTTGTCCGTTGAAAAAAAGGAGGTGCACCTTCAGCGCAATTATTGGGACGTAGCACTGGAGAATCGATGATGATAATGATGGGAAGACTCGGAAACAGACGAGAGGTGTCCTGTCACACGTGGCATGGGAGTATGAACTGTATTTTCACGCAACTTGCGTGCAGCCCAGCGAGGTGGCGTGACGGCGTGATGCGCGACACGAATAGATTAGCCTCAACACGTGCTCCACGTGGCGCGTGTCCAAGGCGTCACGCTAATATTATACAGTCCATCTCAGAAATGGTAAAAGCCTCATAATAATAATAAGTTCAGCGTTACGATGCATCAGAAGCATAAATGTTTGTATTCGCAAGCCTCGAACCCGTCTATCTGAACCTGGGCCGTGACGTTCCCTTCTGTGTTGGTGACTGGCCCTGCCTCCTCACCCGCATAGACTCCTTCTGCTACACGAATAATGGTCTGGTTCGATTATAACGTGAGCCTCAACGTCCAATAACTTTACCGTAATCACTGCATTTCCTAGGGCGCTGAATTCCACTTCTCTAAGGCGATCGCCTCTCTCTGCTACTGTCGGGTTCTCGTCGCTCTGATGTGCTCTTCTCATAAGACACAATCCACCACTGTATTATCAATACGCCCCTGTCATACCATCTATCAGTAGTAGTAGAACTCGACTGAGCAGGGCTTGTGGGGAGCAATCGACCCGAGTGGTCCAGCGGTCAGGCCGCGTAAACTCCCTTGAAAACGAAAACAATACTCAGAATAAGCGTGGCTCAACGAGAACATGACGACGTCAGCCGGACACTGTTGCCATGGAGACTTCGATCCCTTCGGAGCTCTCGATAGCCGTACTACTACTACTACTACTACTACTACTACTACTACTACTACTACTACTACTACTACTACTACTACTACTACTACTACTACTACTACTGCTACTACTGCTACTATTTTTCCTCTATTACTACCACTACAACGGCGTATTCAATCTTGACATGCTTCCAAACTACGCCAGCTTCAACCGTCGAATTCTTTTCCCTTCACCTTCACAGAAGGCCCCATCCCTGCACCTATAAACGGTAGAGAGTATCGTCAGGGCAACATGGCATTTCCCTGAGGACAATTGCTACATTAGTCTCTACTTAACCCAAGCACTAAAGGACCAAGAGGAATCTTCTATAATAGGTTTATGAGGTATCTCCCTTGCCCTACTAAACGAAGTGGATGGTCCCCCATGCTCCACTATAGAGGTCGCGGTCTCGGGCTTCCCCTGAACATAGTAGCTGTATCGGCAGCATCCTGGACAGTCGTGCCATCACTACACAGCTGTTCAATGTCGTGTATGCCGCAACTACCTCTTCCCTGCTCTTGCGATGGTGCTCACCTGCTCCCCGCGATTTAATATCTCTGTCACTCATCGAGCGTTGAAGCTCCTCATGAGGTCAACTAGAATGACACCGTTCAGAATAGGAACTGGTCCATCGACTATTAGGACGAACGATGACATTGGATATTTGAAATTTTCGAGGTGAGAAGCCGTCACCTGAGGCTTCGGTTTCTCACTGGCCGCTTCTCCCTCTCTCCTGCGGTCGTCGTCCTAACACCCACTACAGAAACCAGAGCTTGTAGGCAAACGCAAACTCTCTAGTTAATGAAGAGTCGTACAGACGATAGACTCTCATACTCCAAACACAACCGATTAGCACTTGTGAAAAGCTGACTTGTTTGATCGTATTCAAGCGGGAATAGCATAGGAATAGCTCAATATTTCAATTTTTATGTCAGCGCGGAGATTGTATAAGGTGATGAGCGTTTACCCAGCGTTCGAGAAGCGTTTCACATCAACACGATGCAGTGATGAAAGAGAACAGCATTTCTCGGCATTTACCAAAACTGATTGACTTTAAACTTTCAACTCCGTCCAACCACAAGCTTTGAAGCATCGAGGGAGAACCTTGAGTTTGGACACTCCATGGTTGTCGGGCCTCTTCCAAGAGAGCAGCGAGCACCTCGTAGATCTTATGGCTCTCCATACCTTTAACAAGCCTTGCACCATCATTCACAGCCAACAACAGAGTAGGGCGATCAGGACCTCGTACGAATTGACCAGGCCCCAGATATACATAAACATAGAATCCGGTAGTAGACAATGTGACACCCAGCAGGAGCTCTCCTTGAATAGGCTTATGAGGAGCTTGGTTTGAAGCAGCTTGTTGCGTCCCTAACGGATATTGCGGCAATAAGTTGAACGATGAGCTCGACCTCACTGTGTGAACATACTCTCCCTAGAGAGGGGCATAGTCAACTCGATTAGAAATGGAGCTGTCGTGGAAGAACATTTATATACGTTGTCCTCGCCATTTCACACTGCAAAGATCCGTATATATACTCGCTCGCCTAAGAGTGAAACCGTTGCCGTGTAGTAGAACATGGAATGTGATAAAAAAGTAAGATTATACTTTGCATCAACTCCCTTGTGGAACTGTGTTCTCATTCATCATGGCATGCGATGAACAGCCCAACGTTTAACATGGTAGGTTATACGAGTCCTTGATCATTTACTTAAACCAGTTGGACAAATAGTCAGAAACCGCCGAGGAACGGGCGGGAACATAGCAGAATCAATCGGAGTTAGAGTAAGTGATGACACCTTTGTTTACCCCATGTTCATTGAATCACTTCTGCCGTTCATCGTATTATACGTGTGAGGAGCGATTTTAGAAAAGACTCAGAGTTTCAAAATTGGTCTACAGAACAACGCCTTGATCAGGTTGCCGAATGGACGAGTGATTCTGGAAGCGTTTCTGAAAAAAGATTTAAAAATCGTTTCCCACCTCGCAATCAATGGAGACGATTTTGAAATGTGAAAAACGATTTCGAAAACGCGCGGACGCATTTTTGAACACTTCAGAAGTGACTCTGGAAACTTTTCCGGGGGCATTTCCAGAATCGATTCTCTAAAAAATGATTTTTCAATATCGATTCTGGAGCCGAGACTCAAAATATATTTTTTATCAGCCTTGGATTTTCCCCCAGTTACCAACTATTTATCGACCGGCTCCTGCTACAGCTTCTTCAACTCCGACACCCCCATCAACTGATATGACTAACTTGCCTAAGCCTTATGAAGTCTGGCTCATCCGCAAGTTCCCTAATCCCAAGAAGTCTGAAATGCCTTTCGAACCCGTGTTGATTTTCGATCGAAAGGTTCCTTATCATACGAGCAATACATGATTAGATCGTCACGTTTCACTGCTCTTAAGGAGGTGGCCGAGGCCATCGATCGACCTCTTCTTCTGGTTCAAACGACCCCTGTTCCAAGAGCTTCGTCATTGCAACTTTTTCTAGTGGAAACTAAATTATACACGTTTGACATGGTATATTGTACGAGCCATAGGTGAAACGCAGTCAACAGAAAAGGGAGGGAGAGCGCCAGTCTAGAGGTACTGTCGTAGACTCTTGCCGTCTAACTCTACCGATCGAGGAAGAGCTCTGCACCATCATTGCGACCAGTCGATTGAAACGGTCCTTAATAACGAGCAATACATGATACAGCAGTCACGCTCTAAGGCTACTGCCCTTAATTATCGTCGCTCTCATTCGACCGACGATTCTTAAGCCCGAGTGCGTGTCTAACTTGAAAATCTTGAACACTTGCATTTCCTCAAAAGTTCATTCTGTTTCCACTATTCAGCTTATCACTTTAGCCGTAGCTCGGCAAGGCATGTCCCAAGCCGTTCCTTCACAATTCCCTCTGTCGTTCTTCTTCTCCTCGACCACTCAGCAGGGAGCTGCCCCTTCCCGCCGTGGTCGTCACTCTCTCGAGACGCCTGTGCCTGATGTCAACACTAGGGACCTGCAAGAAAAGGTTCGCGACTGTCGAGTATTTTAGTCTCTTTTTTTACTATTCAGATCGTCAAGTGTTTGCGCCTCCCCGACAGGACCTACCTCTGTAAGGGGTGTATGCGTTGGCCTTTTTTCGTGTCTTGTCGTCGCGTTGCCAGATTCTCAAGGGGTTGGCTTGGCTCCAGCAGCGGCCCGTGAAGATCTATGGAGAGGTCTGATGCACACTATTCCCGTTGTGGAGGTGGACTGGCAGCAAGGCCGGTGGAATCAGCGCTAATCCCGGGGAGTTTTTACCTTTTTGCCAGGTCGTTCCATCTCGATTATGATGAACGTAATTCTCAACCACCTCAACCAGTCTCTTCAGAAGGGGTAGGTTTTTTGGTATTTAGTCTCAATAGATTTCCATCAGAGTGATACTCAGCAAGCCGGGAGCTCAACTGCGGGAGCACCTGCATAGATGCATGGTTCTTGTAAAAAATTCAGTTTTGTGTTGGGCTTGTATTTCCTCGGAAAATAGTCTCTTTTTAGTAGAAGTTTTTTCTTGCTATTGTTAACATGTTCGCCGCATCTACCGCTCTCGCCGCTTGCGAGCCCAGCTCGGCCTTCTTCGGCTTCATGGGTATCACCGCTGCCATCAGTTTCGCCAACCTCGGCGCTGCCTACGGTGAGTCTCCCTATCTTTAGTCGGTCTGATTCAACTCTGTTGTCCAGGTACTGCCAAATCTGGTGTTGGTATTTGCTCCATGGGCGTGATGAGGCCCGACCTGGTGATGCGTTCCATCATTCCTGTGGTTATGGCAGGTGTGTTGGGAATCTACGGTCTTATCACCTCCGTCATCATTAACGGTAAAATGGATACTCCCGCTACCTATTCCCAGTATTCTGGCTATGCCCATCTTGGTAAGTCGTAAAGCTGAGAGTATAAGTATTTTGATTTTAATCGTAGGTGCGGGTCTCACTGTTGGTCTCTCGTCCCTCGCCGCTGGGTTGGCCATTGGTATTGTCGGTGACTCTGGTGTTCGTGCTAATGCCCAGCAGCCCAAGCTCTTCGTGGGGATGATCTTGATCTTGATCTTCGCTGAAGCTTTGGGCCTTTACGGTCTCATTGTTGGTCTTGTTGTTGCCTCCACTGCTACTGAGAAGGGCGCTGGCCTCTGCAGCTCGTTCGCTCCTCAATAGGTCGTCTTCCTCCTCCTGTCACCACATCAGTCACCGCCCTAAGGGTGGTGACTGTGTTGAAGAGCGATTCGAGTTGAATCTGCTGGTTCTATTCCCTTTATACGATTACTGTAGTGATGATGTTGTACGCGAATTCTGGACGGGTCTAGTGTGGTTGAGAATTGGCAAGTACTACTTCGTCGAAGTGAACTGCTGAGCAGTATGTGTCGACTACAACAGGCTTTATTGCGTTTGTTAATATATGAAAAAAATATTTTTTATTTTACGTTTCTTCGGAAAGATATTGAGAATGGCGATTGAGTCTTCGCCATCAGGTACGGTTACTATATCGGGCGGCTGAGTGGGAAGATATGCACATGGTCAACTACAGATGTGGTATACAAAATGAAAATTTGGTGAAAATTTTGGGAAATTCTTATTGGTTTGAAACCAATTCGGTAGAAGTGTACAGAAAACAATGGCTTCTGTACGCTTCTACTCGACCTTGTATATAAACTTCTATAATCAGTGAGGAAACTCCTGAATTCAGAAATGCTCAGTTCTTCCTATTCCCAGAGTTTCCTGGCAGCAGTGTTGGAGAAATATATTTTTGCTCTCCTCAGCTGAGTCACCTAGTTATAGAAGTTTATATACGAATTCGGGTAGGAGTGTACAGAAACTGATGAGAATTCCTGTCGAATTGTTCTCAGAACTTCCGCAGTTGTCACCAACACGTATGTGCTCGTTGCTCCGCACTGCCATGTGGGATGTTCGGCGCTGATCTATTCAAGGGGGAGTGGACAACATCATCTCGATTTTGGCAATCAAAACTTGTTGTTGGTGGTAGACCTGGGCTTGGGTACAACATGGCACGTCGCGCGCAGTGAGCTTGAAATTTTCACTATCCCTGCTAAGGATAGACTTGTAATAATGTATAATAGATATAAGGTCAATCTATTATATAGTTATACGTTATTAATGGTATGGTTATTTACTATGGTATAATCCATCGAGGTAATCATATAATTAGGACTAAGTCTGGCTGAGCATGCCTGGAGTGTGCAGCTGTTAGATTCATCGGTGTCAAAGTAGACCAACTCAATACCAGTCGATTAGGGAATGATGATTATGATACTCCCAAATCTATCTTGGGATTGTCCAGCATGCTTGGTGGCGGTTACAAGTATCCAATGGCGAGCGAAGGATAAAATGAAAGATATGAATAACGCACACAGAAGATACTACTGGGCAATAGGTTGAAATAGGTTAATTATTATTTAGATATCCTCGGTATCTTACAAGCCGGGAGACCACGGGTCTGGCTCGTGTGCTGGATAGTGGCTACATGCAATTCTACTGCTTTTATTTCCTTCACATTTTTCTCTTATATTAGCGCATTATGCGCTGCGCATATCGAACTCACTTTTAGTTGGATTTTTCCCATGTCGAGTTCTGCTGCTGCTGCTGCGAACCGGACTGTCGGCGGAAAGTAGTATTACTATTGAGGAAAGAGTAGAAATCCTACATGTGTTTAGTAAGAAGCACGATCCATCGAAACCGCCACGCTCCGATGATCAATATCGGTACTTTTCTTCGATGTCTGCGATCATAGTTCGAAATGCAACTTCGTGTCAGCGCCCAAGGGCCCGGGCAATACGTGTACGTCGACCAGGCTGGGTCTGCACATGCATTAAATCAGCAACAGACCGAGCATGCTGCAGCGATATACGGGTGAGTGGTTGACGTGCAGTGGGAGGAACGCTTTTGCGAATAGGGCGTATCCTACTTATGCGACTGTTGGCAATGGGGGCACTCCGTATGGCAACTACTATGACGGAGGAGGACTTGGGAATCCTTACGGTAGTAGAGGCTCGGCTTCAGGCTCACATGAGCTTCTGAGAACTTTTGAGTTGTCTCGCGTCTTTCTCTAAACAGTGGAGTTTCATCTATTGTACGTGAAGTGGCGTAAAACTCTGTGAAAAACGCGATATTCGCGCTATGCAGAGGTCGCAAAAATTTCATATTACGGTCGTGAAACTCCACTGAGTAAAATTTGTAATTTTTGGTCCAGGCATTTCTGGTATCGAAACCGAAGCCGAAAAGGAGGCCAAGAATCGTTATAGAGCTGGAGCGAGAAAATGCAAGAGGAGTGGTATGTGTTGCTGATGATACCGTCTTGAGACTCGATACCTACCGGATAGTTGCTTTAGCAGTATTTTGATAATTCCGGATGCCTGTGGTCTTCATATGCATTGCTTGTTGTTATCACTCACAGAAGAGAGTCGCGTTTTATACTATAGCGCTACTACTATGTACAGTATAGTTTTATCAACGTACTCGATATGGTCATCGCTCCACAGCTACCAGACGGTAGGGGGTATGCTAGCAAATTTTCGATAAGCTCAATCTTAGTAGGTTGTGAGTTATTCAACTTTGTAATAAGAGGAGTATCGTCTTGAATGTTGGGGGTCACTTACGAGGCGGTAAACCACGTTGTCGAATCAGTTTGCTCGTGGAATTCAATCATGAGATCTTTGCGGTTGGCGTGGTATGCGCTGTTGTTAATTTTGCAAGAACATGACATGTTCCCCGTGATGGGCAGGAGGAGCTCTTGTTTATTAAATTGGTTGCTATACACTTATACCAAAATTTCCATGTAAACCTCTATAACGAGAAATTTGCTGAGCTCAGATGAGGAAACCAAACATAAAGCTCTAGAAGTACTCGGAGCCTCTCAAAGTTGTTTGTGTGTCTTCTGATGTCCTTCGCTCCGCCTCGTCGAGATCGATCTATGCTTGCCCGGGAGCTGGCGAAGGAAGTCGGCGCTCATATCCTCCTCGCTGGAGGGGTAGTTGAGCGGGAGACGATACTTATGAAACTCAACGAGATGCTTCGGAAAACTCATGAGAGCTCATGCGAGTATTCGTCCTAACACAGTCTACCTAGCCAGAGAGCTCATTTATGTTTAGGAAGGACGCCATTTCTGAATCGGCAATCACCGCGACTTCTCACCCGCATCAGGCAGAGGCCACCTTCCGAGTTGCCCTGAGGTCGATCCTGAGGGCTCTCAATAGTAGAGACTCGATGGAGAGGCTGGAGGAGAGTAAAATCCCTGAAATAATCTCCACATGTCAGCACGCCAGGTGGGCTCTTTCTTTCTCCCTCGTATCGGCCAAGAAGAAACTTCAATTTCAGGGGGTTGGATGACGTCATCGACCGCTACCTGAATGCTTTAACGTGTCGTCTTCTAAAGGCGCGCGAGAAGGTTCCGATAGCATCTCCTCCGACGCCATCACAAAGGCCAGGAGTAAAGACCGAGACGGCCCCATTGACGATGCCGAGGCGTGGCCGGGATCGCTATGATCAGCCTTTGGCTGTGCCGCCGAGGTTAGTGGTCCATAAGCCTCGTCGCAAGTCGCGTGCATCGAGTGAAGGCAAGAGTACTACCTCGACTGGTCGCGGACGGCCTCTGGGTAGTCGCAGTCGACCACGCAGGAGCGGTGATGTTCATGGCGACCAACCTAAAGCTCATGTCTGGGCAGCTCATTATGTCCAATATAGAGAATTGAGGGTTCAGGAGGTGCGGAGGGCGTGCGCTACGGCAGAGAGGGAGAATACGGTTCGAATGCATCATCACCAGCGTGTTAAGGACCGTATCGCCTCGCCTCAGACGACCGCAGTGGTCGGGGGCATTACGACGGAGGGGACTCCCTCTGTGTCCTCTACGATGATAACGAGGACACAGGAAGGGGGCACTCCGTTGGGGATGCCGGAGGAAGGGGGCACGTCGTTAGGGATGCCGGAGGAAGGGGGCACGTCGTTAGGGATGCCGGAGGAAGGGGACACGTCGTTGGGGATGCCGGAGGAAGGGGGCACGTCAGTAAGGATGCCGGAGGAAGGGGACACGTCGTTAGGGATGCCGGAGGAAGGGGGCACGTCGTTAGGGATGCCGGAGGAAGGGGACACGTCGTTGGGGATGCCGGAGGAAGGGGACACGTCGTTGGGGATGCTGGAGGAAGGGGGCACGTCGTTGGGGATGCCGGAGGAAGGGGGCACGTCGTTGGGGATGCTGGAGGAAGGGGGCACGTCGTTGGGGATGCCGGAGGAAGGGGGCACGTCGTTGGGGATGCCGGAGGAAGGGGGCACGTCAGTAGGGATGCCAGTAGAGAATACGAGACCATCGTCGCCTAGAGAGGGCTCTCCAGTGATGAGCCAATCAGAGCAGCTACCCTCGGGCGGCCTAGCAGTCACCGAAGGGGTCCATACTCCGCCACAGTCAGTCAGTATGCCGCTGGTTGTTGGTCTGAGTCGACTGCCCCAATCCAACACGGATGCCATTGGTGCTTCCGATGAGCGACAAGTCTCGAACAACCGGCAGGTTCCCAAATCGGTTCACCCGAAGGGGCCGACCCATAAGGCAGGGCCGAGACGATCCCACGTGGCCCGCAAGACTCTAAACTCGGTATATTGCCATTATGCGTCCCGCTTTTTCATCGACTCTCTGTCGAAGTCACTGAAACGCAGCAGTAGAGGGAAGAAATTCGGCAATAGAGCCGTTGAGTTTTCTCCCCGGGGGCCAGCAGCGAGACCCTTCCTTAAGGAGTCTCTGGAGGCAGACCACAATCCGCATGGGAGTCTTGAAATGAGGCGAAAGTCTCCCCCTGTCTGTTCGGTCCAGGCTGATGACTACAGTTGTGAAACCACAAGTGACAGCGAAAACCATATTTTCAGTGCCTCGAAAGTCAACCTGAGATCGGCACTCAGCAATCACCTCGAAAGTGATGTTGTTGCAACTCCGGTGTCATCATCTTCCGGAGAATTCTCAAGCGAAGAGGGCCCTGGTGACACGAGCCACCTCGGGGGGCAATCGGGCAACGCTACGTCGGAAGAGCCGGAAAGTGTTTTCTCAAATTTCGGTTCTAGCATGGCCGCCTTGGCGAGCAACTTCATGGAAAGCGTGGCAATTTCGGAAAGTCTTCATAGAGGAGAAACACGCGCCCCGACACAGACAGGCAGCCAGGGCTCAGGAGGCGACCAAGGAGATTCCGTTCTGGTTTCGCAAATCCCCGCGAGTGTCACCGCTTCGCGTGAGGCGATGCAATCGAGCAACTACTCGACAACTCCAGAATGCTCGATAGACCCACCCCGAAATGATAGTCGCAGTCAGAAGGGAAGTAGAGATGGTGCTCCTCACGAGAAAGGGATGCGGTTGAACAGTAAGGATGAGGACCCCGTGGGGCTCGTTGAGTTCACGGCGGACATGAGAGTTACCGAACCGCCTGGAGCCGAGCCCAAGAGGGATAGCCTTTCGACGAAGAGCGACAACTTTAGCATGGCTACTCTCAACGCTCCCTCCCAAGGCGGTCCCCATATAATTTCCAAATCGCTAAGCGGAGTGGTCCCAATGGTCAATGCTCGGGCATCACGTATCGGGGCCAGAAGTAGTAGGAAGAATGTGCATTCTAAAAAGACCTCTGTGGGCGCACCTCTGGCTATGGGCACACCCCAGCACTGTGATAGTGACTACGACAGCCCCCTTCGACAGTGAGGAGGTTTCCAAGGCATATGTAGGCTCCATGTTGTGGAGAATTCTCCGAACGACTCCATCGACTGCCCGGCAACGACGTATTCTGAATAGTTCGGGTTTTTACGGTAAAGGTTTTTGGTAGTCATCGCCTGTTCTTGTTAAGCGTCCGCCTATTGTCATATTTCAGCGCCCTGTAAGCACTGTCCTTCCTGCTGCTGTTGATGGTGTTCACCGAGAAAAGGCGTGGAGTTTTAGTCATCTTGAAATCTTGCCTTCACTTGCATTTCCTCAATTTTCTATTTTGACCTCGAAGTTTTATATTTTCCTTGTTGCAACTATGCAGCGGAAAGGACCGGCCGTCAGTGGCGTCCAGCAGAACCCTGCAGGGCCCCGTACCGCTTCAAGGGGTACTACTACGTCACAAGCCGAATACAGTATACCTTTCTCGTAGGTAACCCCAGCGGGCCTGGCATGGCGTTTGAGTTCGGCCCTGATGCTGGTCCGTATCGTGATCAAGTAGAGGTTTCTCAGGAGTTGGTCTCGATGGTTATTGGAAAACGAGGCTCTACTAT